GGGCTCAGCAGACCCTGTTGAAGAACCAGGCTGCTGCAAAGCTACTGGAACAATGTAAACGCAAAACCTGGACTTCCACCGAAAACCGAGAAATCATGAAATGCTGTTACAAGGCAAACCCAACAGCCTGTGGTTTTCAAAAAGGAATGTTGGGAATTTGGAAAAGAAAACACCCAAATAGTGACATAATGAAACAATGATTAATGGACCAGAGAAAGTTCAACATCCAGAGCGAAGTGTTTTCAGAAACAGAATTACAAGAACTAGAAAAAATAGCAAAAGAAAAATCAACATAGCACAATGCTGGAAGACAAATCGAGGTAGAGGTAGATGCAACAGTGGAACAATACATATTAATAAAGGAACATATTATGGAACAACCCAGAAATTACGAGTTGTCAGAACAGCACGCATAACTGAGGGAAAATTAAGTAACCTATATGAGCCAAAACACAGAAAGGCAAAGGTTCCCCTGCTCATGTATAGCACTGCTACAATAATAACCATGGAACTTGGTTAAAAGCTAAAAAATAAAATAAAATAAAAATAAAACTGACTCTCCAAAATAGAAAATTAGGCTGGGGGAAAAATTATGTGCAGACATTAGCAACTTAAAACACTTGAAAGATTCAGAACTTAAAAACTAAAAAGTAAAAGCCAGAGTATGCAAAATATACAACCTAGAAAGGAAAACAATTGTTGAAATTAAAACAACAGGTAACAGCTATAGCAAAGAAAATTTAAAGATTAGAAGAATTTGAAATAATACAGTATAGGGAAAACATGCAATATAGAGAAAGCACGCAATTTCAAAATAACCAACGATTATTCTATAAACTATTAGGAGAAAATGGTGAGCAAAAAAAAAAATGGTCCCATGATCTAAATTTTTAGAAAGAAATTTGGGAAAGCCTAACCAGACGTAACATAAACACCTCATGTATTAAAGACATTTGTAAAGAAATTCAAGGAAAACATATGGATGATGTTGTAATAACAACTGAAATAATTAAGAGGGAAGTAAACACTGTGAACTCACAAAGAGTCATATATGATTTAACGACTAAACAACAACAACAGAACACTGTGAAAAACAGGAGTGCACCTGGTCCAGATGAACTGCATGAATTGCAGATGAATTTGGTTAAAACATTTAACAAGTTTCCATAGAATCTTAGAAAAGTGAAGTTGGAAGGGGTCTACAAGGCCATCAAGTCCAACCTCCTGCTCAGTGCAAGAACAGAATCAAAGCATATCTGGCAGGTGATTATCTATGTTTTTCTTGAATGCCTCCAGTGTTGGAGCACTCACCAACTCCCAAGGTAACTGGTTCCACTGTCGTACTGCTCTAATAGTTAGGATGTTTCTCCTGATATTCACCCGAAATCTGGCTTCCTTTAACTTGAGTCCATTGTTGCGTGTCCTGCACTCTGGGATGATCGAGAACAGATCTTGCCCCTTCTCTGTATGACAGCCTTTCCATCAACATATAGGAGAGCAATTTAATCACTTACTTCAAAATTCTACAACTGAAGATTGGAAGACAACAGGCTGCATCTTTCTGATAATAAAATATCATCAAAAGGGCAATGAACCCACTATTATTGACCAATTACATGCCTTCTAATAATGTTAAAGCTCCTCACAGGAGTACTGACAAGATCAATATATAATTATTTAATTGAAAACTCCCTATATCCAACTGAGCAGAAAGGGACCTTTAAAAAGACAAGAGCCACAAAAGATCAGCTGCTTTTTGATCAAATGATACTAAAGAATGGGAAAAGACAAAAAAAAAATCTTAACATGGCCTGGATAGACTATGAAAAGGTATTTAATTCATTGCTTCACAGCTAGATTAGTGTTTAGGATTTGTAAAATTATTCAGAAGTTTCTCATGAAAAACATGGAAAAATGGACAACTGTCTTAATGTCCTATAGTGAAGAAATTGGCAAAGTTATCATCAAAAAAAGGATTGTCTGTCTGCTTGTTTGTTTGTTTTTAACCTGCCTTTCTCCTTGCAAAGGACCCAGGACAGCTTACAACAGTTTCAAGGGAAGTTCAGTTTCAACCATTCCAAGGGGATTCTTTGTCAGCACTGCTGTTTAACATCTCACTCATGTCAATAATTTTAAATAAAACGGGCTATCATATTTCAGAACAAGCAGGAAAACCTAATCACCTGTTATACATGGAAGACCTATATGGAAAAAGTTCCACAGAGGTAGAATCACTACTAAACACAGTGTGAATATTTAGTGAAGATAACTGAATGAAATTTGGAAATAACAAATGTGCAGCTCTGTCTATACACTGTCTATACACTGTGGCAAGATCCAAAAAGTAGATGGAATAGAGTTTTAAAAGGTGATACTATAAAATCACTCTCAAATGATGAAAATTATAAATACCTTGCAATACTAGAAGCAGAAAACATCCCACACACAAAAATTAAAGAACCAACAGAAAGGGAATACTGTATATCAAAACACTGCAGAAATTCTTAAAATCAAAATTAAATGGTGGAAATACAATCAAAGCCATAAACACATGTGCAGTTCCAGATGGAATAATAGATTGGACCCAAAACAAATTAGAAGAATTGGATCAAAAAACATGTATCACACATGACATCCAAAAAGTGAAGTAGACAGATAATACTGTACTGTATTTTTCTGTGTATAAAATGACACTTTTTACTTAAATAATTAGACAAAAAATTGTGGGTTGTTTTATACACAGAAGATAGCCATTTCCCCTGCCTTTTGCGAAGCCACAGGGTGCAATCGTGTCACCCTTTCACAGCTGCATTACCCACTTCCTAAGAACGCAGGCATGAAAGGGCGGTATGATTGCACCCCTTTAAACCTGAAGTAGCCATGAAAGGGCTTCAGGATCAAAAGGGTGCCATTGTGCAAATTTTCTAATTTGGGGATTAGAAAAAGGGGGGTTGTATTATACATGGGGTCATCTTATAAATGGAAAAATACAGTATTTACCACAAAAAACCAGAGGCCATGGATTATTGCAAATACAACAGGTAGTAGAGGAGGAAAAATGAAGCCTAAATGATTATATTAGTACAAGTAGAGAAAAATTACTGAAGGCAGTGAAAATGGAGAATATTTTGAAAACAACAGAAACAAAAGGCTGGAAATGAGAAACAAGTTTGAAAGTAAAATAAACAGTTGGAAAAAATAAACCACTACATGGACAACACCTGAGAAATATTGATGGAAAGCATAATCATAATTCAACATTGGCACGGCTAAAGCTGGGGAACCTTAAGAAAGTAACCAAAGGCTTGATTTTTACTGCACAAGAACAAGCACTCCAAACCAATGTGATGAACGCTAAGATTCAAGGAATTAAGGCTAACAGTAAATGTTGACTCTAACAAGAAAAAGATGAAACTGTCACACCTCATCTGCAAATATCCAAAGACTGCACAAATGGATTGCAAAATTAGGCATGATAGATTGGCAAAATTAGTACACTGTCTTTATGCAAAAAATATAACTTGCCAGCCTCCAAAAACCCATGGGAACATCAGGTAGAAAAGGTGTCAGAAAATGAGGGAGTCAAGATCTTGTGGGATTTCCAGATCCAAACACTACCTTGAACATAGCACACCAGACATAGTAGTAATAGAACGAAGAAATGTCTGGATCATTGACATTGCAATTCCAGGGGACGCCAGAGTTGAAAATAAAGAATTGGAAAAACTAACAAAATACAGAGATCTGGCAACTGAAACATCTCTCTTGTGGATGAAACACACTTGGGAACAATACCTAGAAATTTCACACAGTATTATAAGCAGTTGCAGATCTCAGAAATAACACCATCAGAGCTAGAAAAAACTGCAGTATTGGGAACAGCATACTTACTGTGTCAATATTTAACTTAAGTTCTTGGTTAAAACTTGTATCTATTATATAATACCAATGTTTTTATAATTTTGATTGACTGTGTCTGGCATTTTTTAATAGTAATAATAGTAAGCGACTACTAGCCTTCAAAAGATGATTAAAAAGAGAGAGATCCAAACCTCATAAGCCAAGGTACTCCACAGATTATATGCAGGCATTGAAAAAGCCTGAAATGTTATCACAGCTATTTATGATTCCACCAGGAGGAAGCTGTGGGGCTTGTATGGGATGAGGCAGTGCTTAAGGTAATTATCCCCACACACTTTGAACAGTGTCTGGAAACAAACAGGCTTTCACTCATGCTATTTAGTCGGGAGATATGCTGTTCAGTGGAACAAGTTCATACATTTAACTCTGAGTTCTTATATTTTGAATAATTAGGCACTGACATATCTGTACATGGGAAGTCTTGATATCTAAATTTATGTGGAAAATTGTAACTGAAAAGCAGGTGCCAATTAAACCCAAACATTAGATGAAGCATTAACAATTAATTTCCGTACGCTAGATTCAGAATATATTTAGAAGAGACAAAGAGCAAATAATTTTTATTTAATTACCTATCCAGTTCATATCCCAGTTTTCTAGCACAAATTGGACTCATGTTTGTTGACGTTCTTTGCTCTCAAATCAGAATGGACTGATAGCGATCCTAATACGGTTTTCAAGGTAAGTTAGATATTTAAGGAGTGATTTTACCAGCTCCATCCCCCCAGCAAGATTCCAGCTGATTTGACTCACGTTAGTCACAATTTATTTGTCCAACACATTACAATGGATCTACTCTGAGTATAAGTTGGGGTCTAAAGCCACCTTTAGTATTAGTATTATAATTAGTTTTAATGTAACATGTTAATGTAGATTTTTTTTTAAAAAGATGCAAGTTTTGCACTTTAAAGACGAAGGACAGAAGCTGCCAGAATACAATCATCAACGGAGACATTAATTTTTCACATGGTTTAAAGGGGAGACTGAAATTCAAATTCAAATTTGAAACTCACTTTCTGAAACCCATGGGAAAAATAACAAGCTTTCAATGATAATACAAATGGTTTGGTTTTACTTACAGTTCAATCAGAGAATCTAAATCAGCAAAAACATCCCTTGGCAGAGTTTTGATCTGGTTATTGGCCAAGGAACTGGAAAAGAAAAGTTAAGTGTTTAAAATATTTGAAGAGATGATAATAACTAAATAGAACATCACTTAGCTAATGTTAACTCTTGGATGTTTCCCAATTCCCAGTGTTAACAATGAATAAATAAACAAAGCCTTTCAAAGTGGCAATCCATAACACTCTGATTTAGTTCAAAAGGAAGGAAAGTCACACTGTTTTTATTCTTTAGGATAAAAAATTCATATACTAAGGAGTGTATATAGAATTACGTATCTTAAGATATAAACTCACTGAGTTTATGCATTTGCCCCCTTTTAGCTAGATGTACATCCTTTCTGACAGAATCAAGATCAAGAATAGCCACTCTCTCTTGTTTTCATGATGCATTTGTATGCATTATACATATGAAAGGACAGGTAAAGATCAACACCTTCCTGAAGCACAGTGGTGAATTTCTGTGAGTAGGCATGTCTGTGGCAAGATAAAGTTCAAACATAGGTATTATTACTTGATGACTGTGTGTTGGGCTGGAATTCCCACAATCCAGAGGGCAACAGTTGCAACATTGGCAGTATTTTGCGTGAGAACACAGAGCAGAAAGACCCAAATGGACCTAAGTGAATGTGCCTTCAGCTCACTGTGTGTGTGTGTGTGTGTGTGTGTGTGTTTTAAGGAAGCTAGTGAGAGCTACAAAGACAGTGTTTGGAACACTGGGAAAGTGTTTGGCGGGAAAGAGGCCAAAAAACAAGCTGAGCTCCTTCCTGAGCATTGTTTAGACTAATGGCTGTGAACAGGGGCTAGTAATCATGTTATTCCAACTTCCATCTCCAAAGCCAGCCTCACTGTTCAGCATAAGGGCTGCAAGGGCCCATCGTAGTGTGCCTTTCCTGGCAGTGCCAGAGTGCATGGCTTGCAGAATGCAGTAACAACTGCGGACTTTTTTGTGCTAATCTGAGATCCAGCCTCACAGATAGGCATTGGAAACTGGCAACCCTGCATGTGTTAATAAGGATGAAAATCAATACTGGATATAAGCATTTTATAGTGCAGTAATTTAAACGTTATCACTCAGCACAGAAGTAGGCTGTAAGTCTTGGCTGTAAGTCTGAAACTATATACTTCTGAGAGGGCCACTCTTATGCCCAGATTCTTAGGCTGAATTCAGTTTTTGTGGTCTTCAAGCATTGCAGACACCATAGTCCCCCAAAGTATTCACCCATCTTTCCCCCACAGGTTCCTCTTGCAACTTCTTACTGGTAAGAAAAGGGAGGACAAATAAGTCATCAGAGGGCAGCAGATAGCAATACTGTATAGCTTCATCATGGTGGAGTATGCAAATAAAGCTAACCAAAACCAATTTCAGGGGCTCCGAGTGACTGCTTACAAGTCCCCCCTTCCCTCACTACTGTTGCAACGACTCCAGAAGTTCCCTAATGATGCCTGCTGCTAATTGTCAGGTTTAACTCAGACTTTTACAAAACCGAGAAATCCAAAAAGTCTATTCCCCACTTTACAAACAAATAAACCTGTGCATGCTATGGTGATTTGCAACAATGGCCTAAATCAAGATGTTAGTCCCTAATAATCCATGCAAATGTTGACTTAGTGATTTCTGGTTGATTCCATGGCTAACCCCTCATTGTGCCAAACAACTGGATTTAGTCAAGGTGATTTTGTCATATGGAAAAAAATAAAAAAAAACAGTGGTTTTTGAAGCAGATGCCTTGAATACACTATGTTCACACACACACACCAGTTCAATGTTCATTTAATTCTTTAGCTCTACTTTCATGCAATAAGGAGGCCCAAGATGTTTATTACTTCATGAAACCAAGGGACTCAAGGAAACTAGATTCCAGACTTTTGCCCTATACTACTGTGTATACAGGGCAGCTCAAAAGATTTTACCTGCTGAGACAGACAGTTTGATCTTATTTCAGCACCAGTGAAAAGACAGCAGCTTCTGCTGCACTTGGGGGGCAGGACGAAAGCTTAGAACACAGAGCAGGTCACATGGTACCTATTGCTCTAGATACATCATTTTAAAGCAAGACAGAAATAATACAAATTAATATTAAAACACTTACAGATGTGTCAAGTCTCGGAGGCCACGAAATGCATTTCTTGATATGGTTTCTATTTTGTTTCCTTCAATAAACCTACAGAGAAAGATTTTACTTTTTTAAAATTGGGAAGGACAGGTCTTAGTGCTAGACAATAGCTTGTTTTCTAGTCTTAAGGGTCCACTGTGATTTGATGGGACAGAAGCCTCTTATCAACCTGCAAGTGACACATGAAACAAACATCACCACTAAACAATGCAGGAGCCCCCCTGCAAACTTCATAGCTTGGGAGGTTTTTATATCAGGCTGCAAATATGCTTACAACACTTTTGATTTAACAGCTGCACTCACAAGATGAGCATATGTTGCTGGACTGATGGCCAAAATTGTTCATTCAATCTGCATTCACAGTATGTTGGCCTAATGAATGCCCCTCCCCAGTTTCACAAGGCAGATCTGACCACAGTTTCATGTTGTGAACATTTTATGCTGCTGAAAGAAAAAAAATGTAAACATACATTTTGAAGAATCACTAGATGCAAAAGAATGTGCAGCAATTAGGAATTCAAAGCATCTGGGCTACAACGATCAAGTTACTTGAAATATTTATGTTCTTCCTCTTTTGAGTTCATGGTATCAGTCCATATAACAGCTATTAAAAGCAGTATTGAAACAAATTTAGGGAACAATTCAGTCAAAGTTAAGCATACTTATGTTCCCCCAATGTAAGTTAGAGATATTTAAACATGTGCTTAATATTTCTACTGAAAGCAAAAGGATTTCATTTCAAATTACTTGCTTAAACATTTTTACCCCACTTTTCCTTATCAAACACAAAGCAGTTTGCAAATAAAGTTTTTTTTTTTTTAAAAAAAAGCCTTAAAACACAGTAAAGATAGGAAAAATTATAAACATTCATTTGATGTATTAAAATCAAGGGTGGGATAAAAATTCTAAAATAATCAATGAATCAAGAAGAGGCTTATACATGGGAAGATTATGATTTAAGAGTTAAAATATATATTGGGGGAAAAAATCAGTGATCAATCAGAAGCCATCTAGGGCCTAGGCCATTTGCCAGAAGGCACTGCTTCTAAGACACTGCAGACATGAACATAATAAGGCATAAAAATAGATGGGAACACATAACAGCTCAGAATATGTTTTCTCTTCTTTTTGTAAGAATCTGAGCACCATGGAACAGTAATATTAAGGACATTAGTGGTTGCTCTAATCTTTATTTGCACATTCTGACATTAATCCTATTTCACTAAAGTAAAACACATCAATCAGGATGCAAAGAGCATGTGACTTGAGTCGGGAAAAACTAATGCCTTTTACACTGAAATTCTTCACTTTTAATGAACCCTCCCTTCAATTAACTTACTATAATTGAGCTTTTCAATATGATTAGCAGCACAATTTATAAGAATGAAATATTTTCATATTGATATATAATATAATCGCAGCAGGAATGAGATCACAAATTTAACACCAGCTCTTAATCATCAGCACACTGGCTAGAATCCAAAGAGCTCCTTTAGGCCTGCCCAGAGGCACAATTATGCCCAGCAGGATATTTAAAATTTGCTTTAAGCAGCAGCCACCAACCCACCCCATGCCATAACACAATCTGCTTTTGAAAAATGCCCTCAGTTTTAAAAGTAGTTTCCAGTGTGGCTTGAATGAATCATTAGCAGCAGAGAGACTGCAGTTTAAGAAGGCCAGTTCAAAGCCTTCTTTGGAGTGTGGAACTAGCACTGCGGTAATTTGAACTGCACCCTTTAATTTTAGGGTGCTTTCATACACAGGGGGGGCTTAGCACTGCCAATAAAAATATATCTATTCAGTCTTCTTCTGTGTAGATTCTTTTTGCAATGAAAAAATGGGCAGAAAATGCATTGGGAAAGAATGGATACAAATCAAAGCCAATGTCTGAATGCCCTTCCTGGTTAAAATGCCAGGGCAAAATTTCAGGCAGGGAAAATGCAGAATAAATGCCTCATCTGGAAGCATCCCAACATATAAAACTATCCTAGACCATTAAAAATGTGTTTTAAAATAATCTGCAACTTCTCCAGTTCTATAAAAGCCTTCTGTGTAGATGGCCACTTTGCAATTCATAATTTGCAGAAAAAAGCAGAAAGCCATGACTACATTTCAGCTTTCCACTTAGAGTTGCAAGCTTTGTACTTACAGTTGCCCCCTGGCTACACACACATGAGTTCTTCTTGTACATCTGGACCCCAGGCATCTTTTGTTGGAGAACTGCACTTGTTCATAATTCACACATTAAACTTGTAATGTAAAATGGAAATCTGTATCCTTCAAACAGCCATTTGCTCCCATGGGTTGCAACATGCCGTGTTGTGGAAAAAAAGAACTTGAACTCTGTGGTGGCTGTGGAGTGAGGAGATTTCTCCTCAAGGTCAATGAGCTTGATAGGAAAAAAGTCATTTATCTCTGAAAGCTTAACATAATACAAATGCATAGAGACACACACAATTTGACTTACAGGTATTCTAGATGGAAAAGACCACCAAAGGCATCATCTGCTATGACAGTGAATGAGTTTGAATTCAGAAGTCTAAAAATTAAGAGAAGAAATAATCAAAATATGTTACTCATCAAATTATGGCATTGTAAAGGAATTCTCAATGCTGAACTTCCCTTAGTGAATTTCTTGACAATACACAAGAACAACTCAGAAAAAGTAAGAGATTGGCCCCAAGGACGTTAGGAGAGTATTCACAGCTCCTTTACCACAGAACTGAGCACACAACACAATTTGTTCTATTAGCAAAGTTCCACAGTATTCCTACACATACTGTAGACCTATTGAATCAATGAGGATTTGGTGATTCAATGGGCCTACTCTAACTGCAACTTATTTTAGCACAGTAAGTCACAGCTAGAGTAAGTTCATATGAATCAATCAAACTTATGGAGGAGCTGACTCACTAAATCCCCATTGATTTAATGGACCTACTCTACGTCCTGGACGAGATTATCTAGATCCATTTTGATCGGTCTTCAGGCCTAGTTATGGGATGGAGACTGTTTTGGTCACTGTGGTGAATGACCTCCAGTAGGAACTGGAAAGAGGGAGTGTGTCCCTCTTGGTTCTGTTGGATCTCTCAGTGGCTTTCAGACCATCAGCCATGGTATCCTTCTGGATCATCTCTCTGACAACAAATTCTCTCTCTCTTGTCCATCTAAATCCAAGGAAGCTGTTTAAGTTCTAGATTGATGTCTGCTCTCTCTCTCTCTCTCTCTCTCTCTCTCTCTCTCTCTCTCTCAAAACACAGGTGTGCAGATTTGTCTCTGAGCCTGGATGCCCAGGTTTCAGCAGTGGCCAGGAGTTCATCTGCACAGTTAAAATTACTGCACCAGTAGTGCAAAATTAGCGCCTTTCCCTAGAGATGTCCAATCTGGCCACAGTGACATGTGCCTTATTTCCATGGTTGTTCCCAGTTCATGGGTTGGGAACCCTCAAGTGGGTTGCAAAATGTTTTCTGGAGAGTCACTGTGGTTATCTAAGACTGTGCTCACAGGAGAGAGCAGCCAGTGGCAGCAGCAGCAGCAAAGGTTCTCCCTCAGGGCCTATTGCCTCCTCCATGGGAGCAGCCTCAACAAAGCAGCAAGCAGAAATGGTACCAGCATCTGCCCGCCAGAGAAGGAGGAGGTGGCAACAGCTGGGCAAAGCCTTGCAAGAGGCGACAAGGCAGGATTTTTATATGGCTCGTTGTATGTGGCAGAGACTGAGCTTCACCCTCTTCTTACTCATGAGGGGAGTACCTGCCTGGTGGGGTCCTTTTTATACAAATATGGCAAGGGGTGGTGTCACAGGTTACTTGGTTATTATAAAAGGTAGTTGTGACTCAAAAAAGGTTGGGAAATACTGCCTCATATACATCCCAATTGGTTTACTGCAGCGTGATCTACATGGGGCTGCATTTGGAAAGTAAACATGGACATGAGCCACCAATTTTTCAGCTTGTGCTGGTTCATTTAGCAGCTGGACAGGTGTTCAGTACTTCAAAACACCCCTTCCTCTGGCAGGCACCCACCTGGAGGCAGCAACCTGGCTTCCCCGCTCTGGGCGCTGCCCTTGAGTGGGTGCCTATTGGAAGAGGAAGGGCTTTGAAGCTCCAAACACTTGTTTGGCCACTAAGCAAACTGGCATGAACTGCCAAGTCAGTGGCTTGTGCCATCTCTAGTGTTCACAAACTTCAGCTGGTCCAAAGCAGTGCAGCTAGATTGTTAGCTGTGGCTGGTTACCAGGATTGTGTAACTCCCCTCCTACAGCAAATCCGCTGGCTGCCAGTACATTTCCAAGCACAATTAAAAGTGCTGGTTCTAACCTATATAAACCCTAAACAGCCTGGGTCCAAGCTGTCTCAAAGACCGCGTCTCCCATTATGAGTGTGCCCTGGTTTTAAAATCTTCAAGGGAGGCCTTCTTCTCTGTTCCACCCCCTTCACAGATGTGTTTGGTGAGGACATGGGAGACGGCCTTCTCTGTCAATACATTTCCAAGCACAATTAAAAGTGCTGGTTCTAACCTATATAAACCCTAAACAGCCTGGGTCCAAGCTGTCTCAAAGACCGCGTCTCCCATTATGAGTGTGCCCTGGTTTTAAAATCTTCAAGGGAGGCCTTCTTCTCTGTTCCACCCCCTTCACAGATGTGTTTGGTGAGGACATGGGAGAGGGCCTTCTCTGTCAAGGCTCCAAAACTCTGGAACTCACTCTTAAAGGAAGCCAGGCTAGCCTCGTCTTTGCTGTCCTTCCACAAGCAGGTAAACACCTTTCTCTTCAGGTAGGCTTTCTTTTAATGACAGGTTGACTAGGTTTTTTGAAAGGGAATATTGTATTTCTGTTGTTTTTAATATGTTTTTAATACTGCCTTAATTTACAAGTTCTAATATGGTATTTATGTAATTCTTGTTAATATTGTAAACATTTATTGTTTTAGCTTTTAATATTGTTTCTTTAATTTAAGTCACCTTATATCATTTTAGGAGAAAAATGGCATGTACAGTAAATATGGCAGACAGACAGACAGACAGACAGACAGACAGACAGAGATAGATAGATAGATAGATAGATAGATAGATAGATAGATAGATAGATAGATAGATAGATAGATAGATAGATAGATAGATAGATAGATAGATAGATAGATAGATAGATAGATAGATAGATAGTGTGATTTACTATGCTGAAGAATAGGACTTTGGCCATTAAACTGTAGGACATGCAGATGACAGGCAAAGATTTTGAATAATTCTCCAGTCATGGCAGATGTGGACGGAGAGGGGAAAAGGTGAAAGAGGAGGGGGAAAGTAAGAAACGGTAACTGTTTCCACTGTCTGATCTTATTGTCCAAGTAAACAAGAGCTGGAGAATAAAGAGTTTATTAAATTAAATAGTTTCTTCATTAATGAAAGCTACATTGATTTTTCTGTGATCTACCTACATGTGGCTCAGAATCAAAGTTTTATGTCTCAACTCAGTGGAAAATAATAATACACACTCAGAAGTTGTCATCTACTAAAACAATAATTCCAGAAAGATGGACCTGAAAACATATTTTGTTGACTGACATTTCTTTGCAATAATAAAATGTTCTCATATAGGCTCCAGTTAATAACAAACATTGATTCAATTAATTTGTCCATTTGACAATGAACTAATAAAGTACAGATGAAACACAGCAAAGTTAAAGAAAGAAAAAGAAAGGAAATCTAATTAGCCAGGCTTTGAGAAACATTTTCATATTCAACCAGAAGATAACAGTATAAACCCTAAGCCAGTGATGGCTAACCTTTTTGAGCCCGAGTGCCCAAACAGTGACACAAAACCAAATTATTTTTTTCAAAGTGCCAACACTGCAATTAAATCTGAATACTGATGTTTTATTTTAGAAAAAAACAATTAATACAGTTGTCTGAATTAATCATCACCTTTTGTCTTCAAAAAATAACAGAACGTTCAATGATGCAAACACTTTTTAATTGAAAAATAACCATTAACTCTAGTAGATGGAAAAAATATTAAAGTAATATAAGCCAGGTAATTTATACAAACTTTTAAAATAATTATATGCATGGATTTTTTGATACTCAACATGACATGCTCTTGCACAATGTGATTTTTGATGTTGTATGCATGCTGATAATCTGTCAAACCTTGGCCCATATGCTGTTAGTTTAGAAGCAACACATGCAGCACCCAGACAACCCAGATAGTGTGGTTGCTGACCTTGAGCCAGACATCCTGGAGAGTGAAGTCAAGTGGGCCTTAGAAAGTATGGCTAACAACAAGGGCAGTGGAGGTGATGGCATTCCAGTTGAACTATTTAAAATCTTAAAATATGATGCGGTTAAGGTGCTACATTCAATATGCTACCAAGTTTGGAAAACTCAGCAGTGGCCAGAGGACGGGAAAGGTCAGTCTACATACCAATCCCAAAGAAGGACAGTGCCAAAGAATGCTCCAACTACCGTACAATTGCACTCATTTCACAAGCTGGCAAGGTTTTGCTCAAAATCCTCCAAGGTAGGCTTCAGGAGTATGTGGAC